TTGAAAGATTCTATGCTGCGAACTTTAAATATTTCACATACTTTTGAAAATCCAGCGTTTAGTTGATCCTGATAAGTGCTCGTCGTCACAGTTGTAAACACGACGGCTTTCTTCTTTCGTGAGGGGGTTTGGCGTCACGGCATCTTTGTTTCCAGGCGGAACGTTAAAGAACGCGACACACTCGTCGCCCGGAAATTCTGTATAATTCAACCAATCCGATGACGACTTCAAAACTCCTGAAGTGTTTCCACTTTTGTGTGCCATATGCATCAGACGTTTAGCCAACGGTCCGTGGGCGTGACGTCTGAGGCTGAGACTAGCTGACAGGAGACTTCCTGAAATATAATTAGCTGTCTTTATCTCATTTCTCCTGGCTTAAATAAATGTAAAATGTGGCACATCTTGCCCCACTCCCCTCTAGTATGGGTGTCCATCTCTGTGAGTGTGTGTGTGCTCACCAACAGTTTGTTGTCCTTTATGACACAGAGCAGTTTGGTCCATTGTCCAAAGCGTTTCTTTCGCAACAGGAACGCACAGATACGTGCATCTTTCACCAGGTCCATGGAGGCCTCCTCAGATGGCCACTGGTGACGCATCTTCTGCCCCTTCCCATCCTCCTCTTCCTCATCGTATGACTCATATGAACTGCTCATGGCGTCCGAGTCATAATCTGAGAACACAGTTGGGACTCTGATTATTGAATTTTATTGAAATGCAAAGAATGCTCTTTCTTAGGTCACAGATGCAGCTATGTTACTGTCATTGTTCTAAAACATATAACATATTTATAGTGTGATGTTAAAAACTGTCCTTACTAGAGGTGATGTACTCTGGTGCTTTCCCAGGGCCCAGCGGAACGGCTTCCTCATAATAACCTTCAGGAAGAGAGGAGCTCGGCAAGGGAGGAGGCCCATTGTCTGGAGGCTTTGGGATGGAGGGAAAGAGAAGGAGAGAGAAAGTGGTCAGCTCAATCATACAGCCTCATAGATGAGAGTGTTTGTTTCTGCTTTTCCTAGAAATGTGAGGACAAAAATATCAGCTTCACTGGCTCCAATAAATGTCTACAGTTGTGAAACCTCAAAAGCCAACAATATCAAAACATCTGAGGCTTTATCCATCTTATCTGAAGTCCATCTTAGAGGTCAAATGTTCATAAGGTCTCTAACATCACAGTGAGGCCAATATGAACCAACCGAGTGTGTACATATCAACATCTGTGGCAAGAGTCAAAAGGGAATGTTAACAAACAAAACTGTCAGAAAAAGAGAGTTTTATGGTAAAAGAGCAGCTGGTCATGATGAGTAGAAGAAAGAAAAAGAAGAAAGTGAAAGTACAACACAAACAAATCAAAAATAGGAAACTAGAGCAGAGCGAGCTACAGATTAGAAAGATGAGAATCAGAAAGCTGGCCAGCAAGTTCTGGAAAAGAGTTCAGGGCTGTTTGCTGTTCTTTATTCCCATCTGGAGGGCGGCGCACCATTAGAAGTGTGGGCACCTTACCTAACGCAAGTCGTTTGGCCAGATTTCTCCATCTGTGTTTAAACAAAAACAACTGTAATAAATAAAGGTAATACCTAACAGTCTATCAATCATTTAGCTTGCTGCAATAAAGATTCAGTTCCAAAATCTAGTGTGCTGCCTCTGCAGGGAGGATTTTACGTCACCATAAACACTCTCCTGATGCCAAGACTGTACCCAAAGGTAGGTGGCATAATTATACTGCCTTCTAAGATACTTTCATTTGGCTAAATTGCTAGGGCAGGGTAGCATTGCATCTATCCTTAGCAGAGAAGCCAATCCTAGAAAGCACTAGAATGAGGTCAGTGGAAAAAAATACATTCAAGATGGCAGATAAAGCAGGAGAAATCGTATAAATGTAAATAATTATACAGTTCTGAGGAAAAAACAGTCACACTTAATTTTAAAGGGGTAGTTTACTTCCAGAATGAAAATCTACTGACAATTTACTTACCCCCATGTTATCCAAGATGTTCATGTCTTTCTTAGGTTCAATCCCAAAGAAATTAAGGTTTTTGAGGAAAACATTCCAGAATTTTTCCCCATATAGTAGACTTCAATGAGAGCAAACGGGTTGAAGGTCCAAATTGCAGTTTCAATGCAGCTTCAAAGAGCTCAACAGGATCCCAGGCAAGGAATTATCTTATCTAGCGAAACGATCGGTCATTTTCTAAAATAAATAAAAATTTATATACTCTTTTTTTAACCACAAATGCTCGTCTTGCACAAGCTCTGCAATGCGCATGCGCATCTTCACGCATTACGTAATCATGTTGGAAAAGTCATCTAAAAAATTGGGACCTTCAACCCGTTGGACACCATTGAAGTCCACTATATGGAGAAAAATCCTGAAATGTTTTCCTCAAAAACCTTAATTTCTTTTCAACTGAAGAAAGAAAGACATAAACAGCTTGGATGACATGGGGGTAAATTATCATTAAATTTTCATTCTGGAGGTGAACTAATCCTTTAAGATCCAGTTCTCACTATTAACTAACTACAACATTTGCCTCAATATACTCTAAATTACTGTTAATTAATAGTTAATAAGGCAGTTGTTAAGTTTAGGTATTGGTTAGGATTAGGGATGTAGAATATGGTCATGCAGAATTTGTGCTTTACAAGTACTAATAAACAGACAATATGCTAGTAATATGCATGCTAATAAGCAACTAATTAATACAGTTGAGGCAAGTTGGAGCTAAACTCTGCAGGACACCAGCCCTCCAGGACCGAGTTTGGACAGCCCTGCTATAAGTGTTACCAAAAAAATAGGGAAAAAATTTAAATTAAAGAAAATCTAAATATCTCTATATGCATTTCCATTCTTATTAAAGTTACAAAGAGTTTAAAAATCTGAAAACGTTTGTGAGTTTTTTACACAAGGCCCCTGGTGTCTATATTCAATGCGTACATTATAGAACCTCATTAGTGTGCGAGTGGGATTGTTTGAAAGAGAGAAAACGAGAAAGAGAGCTTGTGTGTATATGAACGCAAATGAGCGTGCATTTGTGTGAGTTACAATGTGTTTAAGACTCTGATTTGGGCCTGATTTGGGTTGGTTGGGCCCCGCTGGCAGCACATGTGACAACCTGGTGTTGTCATGACGACACAGGCCCTCCAGAGTCTCCCTCATTTCCCAGGCTGCATGCAAACAATTATGGTTGATGACAAACTCATATAAATGCTTTTCATTTTCATTTTTTCCCCCTCTAACCCATGGAAAGTCTGTCTTTATTTCTTTTTCTTTCATTTCAGCTCACAGAAAGCACGGTTATTTTCCAGTGCTTTTCAGGTGGGGGGAATTACAACACATTTCAAGAGACCAAAGGACCAATGATCACAGTTGCCACCTGGCACAATATGGTACAATAGTAACACAGAACATAAATGACTATTTACATTAAAAAACACTGCAAGACGTATACTGTTCAATAACTGTTCAGATATTACCAAGAAATATCACACTTTAATGCTTTTTAGACTATTGATGTTGGCTAGAACAGCATGGCCTAAATTGGCTCAAAGTATATTGGCAACAAAAACATCAAATTGATTGTGTGTTGGGCTGAACTCAGTATTTATTCTGTACTCTGCTGGTTCCTGAGGGTTTTTGTTCACATGTGTAATCAAAACTACAATAGAAATTGTAATGTTTTAGTGTGACCTCCTGGCACATGAGAGAAGGGTGTGTTTGACGTCTGAGGTAGAGGACGATACTTTATCTCAGCGCTAGTCATTACAACTTGGCTTTAGATATAATGAAGACCAGAACATGCAAAATTCCCCATACACTCTTCATCTTTGCGGGTAGTTAAGAGTGAACATACTATAAATGTATGTTCAACACAAGACCTGGCTGCTCCTTTCTTCTTGGAGTCAGTATGATTGAGTTTTTTTGGATGAAATGAATGCCAAGTTCTGTCAAGAACACTAGATGGCGCAGACTTATGGGTCACTACTGCAAACTGATGATATTCAAAGCTTTAAAACTACTTGGCACAAGCTGATTGGTTCATGTTGCAACCGCAGCCAATGAGCTTACTACTTTACATTTAAATGGCTGGTTAGCGTTCACTAGAGCATTTTGCAGCGTGCTTTCAGAGTTACTCTGAAACCCTCCACCTCCCCAGCTCCACCTGTATAGATCTGCTACGGGTTATTATATATGCTATTTGTGCAGCAGCAGTATGTCTTAAATACTCATAGCACCGTATCTGTGTATGTACTGGCAGTAGCAAGTAGGGTTGGGTACCGAAACCCGGTACCAATATGGCACCGGTACCTATGTAACCGGTATGTACTAGAACCGAATCAGAACGCAGATTTCGGTGCCTCATTTCGGTGCCTTGCCTGAGCGATCGATTGAAATATTTGTCCTCTGGTTCTCCGCACCAGTCAAATGCTTCCTTTTGTGATCTGATGAGGCTTCTTGTCACAGAATGAGGCAGAAAATATGTTCTATATGCTACTTTAAAAAGAATACATCGATTAGCAATAAATTAGCGTGACCATACATCCTCTTTTCCCCGGACATGTACTCTTTTTGGACCTTTTTCCACAGAATTGGGCTACTTTTAAACTGTTGCCATGGGTTGGTTTTCCCAAGTGGGTTAAAGGTTTGAAATATTACATAAATTACATTTAAATTAAATGCTTGTATTGAAACATTTTGCATTTACCTATGATAAAACTTTCATGGTCTTCTACATTAACTGTTCCCATGGAGGAATGACCTGCCCAGCTCAATCCAAGCAGCTGAGTCCTTAATATTTTCAAGAAACGGCTGAAAACACATCTCTTTCATCTCCATTTGACCCTCTAACTCTAGCACTCTCTATTCTATTGCTACTTCTAATTTTATCTGCTTGTTTTTTTTTATTAAAAAACTTGACCCTCTAACATTTGCACTCTCTATTCTATTTCTATTCTAACGGCCAATCCATCATTTTTGGGGGAATTTTTATTTTTTTATAAGTATCGGTTCAGGCACCGTTTTAAAAGTATCGGCACCGGTATCGAAAAAAAATACCCAACCCTAGTAGCAAATTCCTGTACCTGCTATGCAGCAGCAATAATGTACAACAACAGCAATAACCAATATCAGTAGCAATTCAGCAGTGTAGCACATCTATTCCACCAAGACCAAACACATTAACACTGTCATACTCATATCCATTACCATTAGTGGTCAACCGATATATCGGCCGATATCTGCCATTTTTCAAATATCGGCATCGGACAATAAGTTTTTCTGTTTGGCCGATGTGTTCGAGGTGGGACTTTTATTTTGACGGCGCGTCTGACTTTTATTTTGACGGTGCCGAGAACGGCTGCGGCAGCGCCTGAGCACTCAGTGCTCACATTCTCCCTCTTGTTTGCTGTTGTCATTCAGTTCTGTCCGGGTGTGCCTCACACGTCCTGGAAACGCGGGAGTTTGATACCGCGGCTCCACCTCACGACACTACTGCGCAGACTTTGGCTCCAAACTAATCTCTACTGCGCAGACTTTGGCTCCAAATGACGTCATTTTCTCAAGATGGCAGCGGCCATACTGAGATGCTTTGGCTTCACTTTTCTATAATGGAAGGAATAGGGGACGCGTCGTCCATCTTTTTTTACAGTCTATGGTTCGGTCTAATACGGATAGAAGTCTATCTAATAATCAGATAGAACTGTTAAACAAAGGAATTAAAATGTATACAAAAATACTAATAATATTATTAAAGGCAAACATTATAATACTTTCTCAATACTTATAATATGGTCCATGCGAATTGAATGCGGACAGGAGGAGAGTTCAGCTTCACTGGAGACGCGCGATCGACAAACTTTAAACTCGTGACTGATTTCAAATTATGCTGCGCTTTATGCGTATTCTGCATGTACTGTCATATTCATGTCAT